ATTTATTACTCGAGAGCTTTTCTCATCTGGAAATAGTGAAATCAGGATTTGCTGCTCGTCTCCTTTTAATAGAGATGCGGCTCCAGTTGGTGTTGATTGTCCTGTCTCTACAGATTTGGCAGGTGAGTGACTAGTGGTCTTTGTTTGTTTATTCAGAGGCATAGTTAGTTCGTGTCGTCAGCAGTACTCTTTCAGTGTTTAAAGACGGACGTTAATCCGTCAAATTATTTCTAATTTAATAAAGTTTACCATACGTTAATATCTCTACAATGTTATGGACTGAAAAATCAGGGGTAAATGCTGCTCTCCAAGTGTAAACACGTAAGCACCACAATCAAACTATTACCATTGTGTAGGATTTTCGCCGCATTTTGTGACAGGAATAACACACACGGGTTTCTGATGCTACCTCCTGACTGCATCTAAATTACGGTGAAATGTGGAGAGGTATTTTCTCTTATTCGCCGTGCGGTAACAAACATTGCATGAAAAATACACGCTTCCAGCAGCTCCTCAAATTAAATATTTTGTTTGTCATGAGAGGTGCAGTCCACCATTTAATAATTTGTCAAATATTTGATTACTGATGTCCATGTAAACACAGTCACTGTCTTTCTCCCGTGTGTGTGTGTTTGTTTTGTGTCTGTGAAAATCAGCATGTGCCCAAACCGACACTCCCATTTTTATGCAAATTTTTACGGACCTTCCCTCTTTCCCTCCTCCGACACTCCCCCCTAAACAGAGCTGCACACGTCCAGTTTCCTGACTTTTTCCAAAGAAGAGCTGTGAAAAAAACCCTGCTGAAACAGGAGGGGTTTCATGGCCCTTTAAGTACATTTTCACAAAAACTGTAGGCATGTAGCATGTATTTCCAATGGATACTATTCTGAATGTGGTTGGCTTAATAGGGATTTTTAATACAATGCCAATACAACTTTGCACATCGAGTCTTTTACTAATAGCATTAACTAAATAAACTTAAGCATTTGATCCGATGCTGTTTAAAGCTAAAAGGGTGATTGTGATGAAGCAGAACATGCAAAAAGTTAAATGAAAAGGCTCAGTGTCTTCTCAGTCTGTAATGCTTTTTTTTTGAACAACGCAATACAAGTGGATGGTGTATTTCAAACAGTAAGAGGTGATAAGCATTAGGTCACCTCGTCAGTTTCTCAACTGCAGACGGCTCTTTTTGGAACTGCAAATATAATGGATGAATAGCTGCTTGTGGCAGACAAGTAGAAAGTGTTGAAACTCCAGTTAGAGACAACAAACGGTTTCAAGTATGAGTGCTGACAGTCAGTGGCAGTGGATATTAAGAACCCTGGGACTTTCAAAAATGTCGGTGTCACAATTATTTGTGTACAATCTCAACTCGTGAATAATTCAGAGTGTCATGATTTATTAAGCTAGCATAAGTCTGAAGCTTTATCCCTTGGATAGATCAGGCATGAAAACCTCTAAAGTTTAGAAAAAGGTACTAATCAAAAGTACAGTGATACTATGTGTCTTTTTTTAGACAATTTTGTGATATTCTCAAATTGTGTTTAATAGATTATGGCCAGTGGGCAAAATCGATTACGATGAGGAAGATAATTTCAAGAGATGCCCTTGGAATTTGATGGACTCTGAGAAGAGAGCTTGAAATTAAAAAAGTCATTTAGCAGATGCTTTTTATTTAAAAGTCCAAGTCCTTGATTGAACTTCTAAATCCAGCTAGTATACACTAACTGACAAAAGTCTTGTGGTTGACCCCAGTTGTAAGAAAACAAAATAATAACTTGACTTCTAGTTGATTATTTGGAAAAGTGGCAGGAGGTAGATTTTTCTGATGAATCATCTGTTGAACTGCATCCCAATCATAACAAATACTGCAGAAGACCTGGGGCCTCATGTATCAACGCTGCGTACGCACAAAAACTTTGCGTACGCCAGGTTTCACGCTCAGAATGGCTCACGTTTGGATTTACTAACAATGAACTGAACGTGGCAATGTGCGCAGGTTCACGGCAGCTTTCTGGCAGGCGTACGCACATTTTTTGTGCGTGTCTGTTTTATTTCCATTGGCGACTCCTAGAGGCAGTTGTGTTAAATTCTTCTCTACAAAGTGTCTGATCCTTGCAATGGCAGCTGTATGAGACGGGTTCATATAGTAGGTATGTAAGATTTCCATACCATACAGTTGACCAGCTAAACATTAAAGCACAATTTGCAGCGGTCGCCTGTTTTCCCAATGTAATCTGAGCAATCTACTGCACACACATTGCTATAAAGACACTATCTGAAGATGAACTTGCATGCGTGAATCAGAAACATTTCCATTCAATAAATGTACAAATAAAATATGATGCACAAACTTATTGATGATTCCTACTTGTCTTTCTCGTGATAAATAGTTGGCAAAATCTGATATGTAGCGGGGAAAAAAAGAAGAAAGACATCATCAGACGCTGGATTCGAGCCGAGTTTATGCTCGTACGTATCAGTACATGATCACATGCTTCTTATAAGGTGCGCCACTGAGACTGCTAAGGGTGCTGCAACATTTTACAGATATAAACCACACTATTTCTTTTTTAAATGCACTCAGTGCGATATTCAGACCCAACTGTGTTAACGACATCAGCTAAACTCTCCCACTCTATTTTTTTCTTTTGTTGTTAATTCCGGAGAACAAACTTGCAAATAACACCGCTTTTCTCCGGTCTACCTCCGAAAGCAGCACCTCCATTTCACATTCTGTTCAAAGTTTCTCTTTTTGCTTGATTTTGCCATTGCTTTTTCGTTGGGTTTTGCCATTAGCATAGTCATTAGCATATTCATACGGGGGAGGAGGCAGGGAGGGGTTTAGTGCTCGTGCATGTTGCACGTTCATTCAGATGTACAAAAGAATATACGTGAGATTCGGCGTACGCAGTGTTCCATACATCTGAATTTTTTTCTGCGTACGCACATTTACATCTTTGTGCGTACGCAATGTTTTAGTAAGATTTCCACGCAAGTCTTTGTACATGAGGCCCCTGATGTGTAATAGTAAGTGTAATCTAAAGGCCTTTGCCTCTCATGTAGCCACTTCTGATACCAAACGATAAACTAGAAGTCAAGTTATTATTTCTTGTTCCTAAAACTCGAATAGGTGACAAGACTTTTGTCAGGTAGTGTGCATTCACCATCCAAATATGGCTTTTTCATTGGCAAAAACAGTATGTAAGCTAAATAATGTATTAGATTTTTTTTAGCATACACGATACTATAGATTCAGCCACTGTGAAATGTGCATCTGATGGAGACTTGGCTATCCCGGAGAGGATTTGTGAATGGCAGTGAAGTGATACAACTAGCAACAAAGGTCATAAAATGCAAAGGACATCCAATGGCATGTCAAAATGTCAAAAGTTTAAATTTTATAAACACCACTTTATTGGATGCACCTTACTAGCATCGAGTTGGACCCCTTTTTGCCTTTAGAACTGCCTTAATCCTTTATGGCATAGATTCAACAAAGTACTGGAAATATTTCCTCAGAGATTTTGGTCCATATTGACATGGGAATATGAATATTGACATATAGCCATCAGATGATGGGTTCACTGTGGTCATAAAGGGATGGACATGGTCAGCAACAATACTCTGGTAGGCTGTGGTGTTGACACAATGCTCAATGGGTACTAATGAGCCCAAAGTGTACCAAGAAAATATCCCCCACACCATTACACCACCAGCAGCAGCCTGAATCGTTGATACAAGGCAGGATGAACCCTTGCTTTAATGTTGTTTAGCCAAATTCTGACCCTATAATCCGAATGTGGTAGCAGAAATTGAGACTCATGGGACCAATCGATGTTTTTCCAATCTTCTATTGTCCAATTTTGGTGAGCCTGTGCAAATTGTAGCCTCAGTTTCCTATTCTTAGCTGACAGGAGTGGCACCCGGTGTGGTCTTCTGCTGCTGTAGCACATCTGCTTCAAGGTTCAACATGTTGTGCTGAAATGCTCTTCTGCATACTTCAGTTGTAACGAGTGGTTATTTCAGTTACTGTTGCCTTTCTGTCAGCTAAAACCAGTCTGGTCATTCTTCAACAAGGATTTGCACCCACAGAGACCCACTGGATATTTTCTCATTTTCAGATCATTCTCTGTAAACCCTAGAGATGGTTGTGCATGAAAATCCCAGTAGATCAACAGTTTCTAAAATACTCAGATAACCACGTCTGGCACCAACAACCATGCCACATTCAAAGTCACTTAAATCACCTTTCTTCCCCATTCTGAGGCAGCAGATCGTCTTGTCCATGTCTACATGCCTAAATGCATTGAGTTACTGCCATGTGATTGGCTAATTAGAAATTTGCGTTATCGAGCAGTTGGAGAGGTGTGCACTTATATACAGCATGAGTGTATATGATATACCGTATATGCAGTCACACAAAATTATCAATCATGTCAGTGTTAATCATTTAGCAGCACTAGCTACACATATTTTTGCCCTATATTACTACCTATTTATTGACTTTGAACAAACAAACAAATAAATAAATGAATGAGAAGCGTTCACTAGGTATGATGAGTCTTTTTTCTTTTTGACTGTCAGTTTGTTTGTCCACTATTTTCACCCAGAAGCAGGATTTATATTTTGTCTATAGGCATATAGTAGATTCTTTTTGGCTAGTTGCTTATTGTATCAAGTTATTTTTTTCATTACTTTTTCATTTGAGACATATTTTTTATAAACGCCTACACTTGTATGTTTTATAAGGCGATACAAACGAAAATATCATTTATATATACATTTTTGCTTCTCTTGTGACATGAACCTGTTGCTTTGCCAGCTCCATTTCAAATACTAGCATTTAAAATACTAACATATTACCTTGACTTCCATTGTAAGACCAAAACTCTTTTTTTTTTCCCATGCAGGGCGACTGTTTGATTTTTATCCTTATTACAGTTTATTATTAATCAGTTATTGATCACTGTTGTTGTTTTTTTTCCCCTGTGTTTCAGCATTGAGGGACAACCGGATTGAACTGGTCCGAGCCTCGTGGAAGGAGCTGACCATCAGCATCAGTGACGTGGCTTTGTCAGATGAAGGACAGTACACATGCTCGCTCTTCACCATGCCTGTCAAGACTTCCAAGGCTTTCCTGACTGTGTTAGGTAAGACTTCTCATAGATCAGTCTCTCCCTCAGCCACAATAAATCTGCACTTTTAAGGTCCACTCACTTATCACTGATCTGGGGTCAGTGCGTTCTCTCCCAGTCATAAGAGTTTGTTTTTGTTCTAAACTTTAGTGGCACCACCATCGATGTAAGTGACTGAATTTCACACGGCTTGATGAAGCCATGCTGTACACCATATGTCTGTATTCCACATTCCACCATATGCGCTGTTTGTCACAGTAAAGGCTGATTTATACTTCTGCGTCAAACGTCGGCGTATGCTACGGCGCTGACGCATAGCCCTTCGCCGTGGCCGTCGGCGTCGCTGACGTGCACCTCTCAAAAAATGACTCAACTCTACATCGCAACAACGCGTTGCGCAAGCTCTGTGATTGGTCTGCTTGGTAGCGCCGACGAGTCTGGGCGGGACAGAGAGCTGCGCGAATGGCGCGAGCGATGGTTTACAAGTGCGGAGCTCCGTGAAAGAGCTCCCCATGGAAAGTTTTTGTTCTGTGTTTACCTCATGGTTAAAGTTGTTGCACGTCCGCCGGTTCCTGCCTCAAAATGACGGAGTTTGAGTCACTTGTACATCCAGAAAGTGTTCAGAAAGGCAAAACAGAAGCGAAGAAACTCGACACAGAGGAACATTTACACCTCACTGCCCACTAGCGTTTCGGAAGTGTTAATGCAGACCAACAGAGACAGCGCGCAGAAGTATAAATGCACAGCTGCGCGCGTTGCCTGCGCCGTGAGTTACGCCGGTCACTTGACGCAGAAGTATAAACCAGGCTTAACTTTACAAACAACTGAATTATTTATTGTGCTTTAATCATCACAGGGTGGATGTACTACTGTTTACAAAACTGTCAAATAAAACACTTTCATGTGCTGTTTTTATACCACTGTTCATTGTTTGCATTTAACAGACAGTGTTTTTTTTTTTTTTTGATTGTTTCTATTTGATTTACAAAAAAAAATGTGCACAGTTTATAAAAAAAAGTTTTTACACTGTTGACGATACATGTTTGAAAATAACTTTACAGACTATTTTGTTTTGTTTTCTGGTTTTAGCCTCACATATTGTTTAACAGACAACACTAATTTTCTGTTTCCCTTTGTTTCTTTTCTTTTCATTTTGTTTCATTTAAAACTTTTTACTTATAATTATTCATTTCTTTTTATACTACTATTATTATACTATTTTTTTTATTATTATAAGTCGTATGTTTTGCATACCAGGAAATTATAATTTCTGGTACTTGATTGTTTTGTTAGTTTTTTGTTTTGTTTTTCCTTCATTTTTTTAGTTTCATTTTGCTTTGATTTCATTTAATTTTGTTTGGTTTCATCCAACAGTGCTGTCTGGTTATTGTTTTTTTTTTTTTTTTTTTCTTGTTCTTCAAGCAGCATATGGACTACTTTTACCTTTTGTTTATATATAATTTTTACATGACGTATTCCTTAAATATAAAGCACCTTTACAGACAACGGCAGTTTTGTTTTGTTCATCAAACAGTGGTGTGACAACTTTCACAGCCGGTTAAGCTCCTTTATTGTGTTTCCATATATTGCATGTACAATAAAACACAAAAGAAGATAATAAGCAATTATATCCCATTAGCCTTAAGGACCCAAGCATCTTTTTCTTGTAGTAATTAGACAAACTCAATCAGGAACATTCTTTTAAACCCCCAAAGGTATTGTGACATTGACCAGCTGTCTTATATGGTTTGAATTTATGTAAAAATACAAAAAAAAAAAAAAAAAAGAAAACACAGGTTTATATTCCATCAAAAATCACAAAACATTACGCAACAGAATGTGCCAGTGTGTTGATATAAATCTACAGGCAACCTTATAAATAAACTGACAGCATTTTTTTTTTCCATTAAAGTGTCAAGAAACGTTTGAACTTCCTCTGAACCACATCACTTCCATCTGTCTATAATCCTGCTGCTCTGTTTGTGTATCAGGTGTTCCAGCAAAGCCAGAAATCACGGGTCTCTCGAGACCTGCCCAGGAGGGAGAGGACGTCACACTGACATGCACCACATCTGGCAGCAAACCGGCTGCTGACATCCGATGGTTCAGGAACGACAAGGAGGTGCAAGGTAAACAAATCCCCCTGGACAGCCTACAGCTGACTGTGTGCAATGAACAGTCGCACAGTTTGTCATTGAGCAAGTGGTGCGTGATCTGTGTGTCTTTGCCACAACTCATCATATCAGAGTGCTGTGGTTTATTAGTACAAGCATCTGGGCTTTAAAGGCCATTTTGCTGTGTTAAAGTAGGTTCTGTTTTTTTTTTTTTTATCTCATCTAGTTCTGCATGCGAGGGCAGAGGTAGCTTTTTTAAACACTTATGACATAAAGAATGTTTTTATGTACTGTTTGAGGCAAGATTATGATTTCTTTGAGAGAGAAAAAGCATATGGTATTATTTTATAACAACATTTTAAATTAGTGTAACCAGTTGAATTTTTTATATATGAAACAATATAAAAGTGAAATTAGACCTTATATGCATTTAAGTGTGAAACAATTTTAAAAGCTGTGAAATATTTAATGATAATAATAATAATAATAATAATAATAATAATAATAGGAATAATAATAACAACAATAATGATAATAATAATAACTATAATAATAATAACAATAATGATGTGTGTGTGTGTATATATATATATATATATACTGTATATATACATACATACATATACATTTACTGTATATATATATATATATATATATACACACACACTGTATATATATACTGTATATATATATATATATATATATATATATATATATATATATATACACACACACACACACTGTATATATACTGTATATATATATATATATATATATATATATATATATATATATATATATATATATATATATATATATATATATATATACAGTGTATATATATATAAAGCCGAATATTGAAGTGCATATTTTTGTTCCCATTTATTAAATAAACGGCCACTTTTGTAATTAAATGACACACATATGAATATATATTTTTCAACGTACAGGCTAATTCACATATTTCATAATCCAAAAGATAATAACAGATTAGAAGTATTTTTAATACTAGACAACACTTGATGTTTCTCTCTCCGTCAGTGACAGTGACAGTTAACGAGTACATTCTCTAAGTAATTCTGTCACCGTGTTTAATCCTTTCTGTGCAAGACTATATAGTATATAATGGCACACAAACTGTGAAGTGTTTAATATTGGTAGTTAATTTTGAAATGAAAATAGCGAGATGTTTGTTAAGAGTTCGCTGGAGGGAAACAGCTGTGCTGCTGAGGTGAACGCAGAGAAAACCGACTGCTACTCTGTGACATTGGGTTACAGGTGATACAAGGTTATCTATACCAAACAACAGCAATTAAACAGATATTATAACAATTTATCGATAAACTCACATCTCATTCTCTCGCTGTCCACGGCTTTGGTTTGCTGATGAAATGAAAAACAAAAGTCGCACAAGAGCCGAATTCTGCCGCCGTTTTTATATCAAATTTAAAAGGGGACTGAGGTGATAATTTACTGTACAGTTTATGAGCTGATTGCAAAAGATTTCAGGTGGCTGAGTAGAAATACAGGGCTGCTACAGCCCCCTTAAAATAGGCCTAGCAACGCCCATGCCATCAGCAACTAGTTGACTTGACTTTAATAACATAAACATTTAACTGGCAGCTAGCTCTCTGCAACTCTCACATGGATGCCCACTGAAGCTAGGTTCACATGGGAAAAGCTAGCTTGCTGTCGGAAGTGGTGTTAGTGAAAGGGGCACTAAAAAATCTGTGTCAGACCAAATGCCCCAGTATATTGATAAGAACTCTATACTGTTCAGTGAGCGCCGTCTTTCAGATGAGTTGTTAAATCGAAGACCTGACTCTCTGTGGTTATTAAAAATCCCAGGATGTCCTTCGAAAAAGAGAAAGGGGGTCCTCGCCAAATTTGCCCACTGGCCTCCTAACCATTCTCATATGGTCTCCTCTTCACCAATCAGCTGCTGTGTGGTGTGCGGTCTGGCGCAATATGGCTTCCGTCACATCATCCAGGTGGATGCTGCACACTGGTGATGGATAAGAAGAATCCGCCCAAAAAATGTATAAAGCACTTTGAGTGTCCAGAGTAGAGCTATATAAATGTAAGGAATTATTCTTTTTTTTTTATCAAGTCGACTTTAAAAAATATTGTAAATAAGTCATTCAACCCCTACTTCAGTGCAACTCAACACAACGCATCAGCTTGTCTTGAGCAACATGTTCCACCAGACGTCCCTCATGTGGGCTCGTGTGGATGTGATTGATGGTCAGAGTCTCCGTCAGAAAGACCCAACTCACAGATGGCATTCTGCGAGCGCACTTATAGGCCAGTGGCAGGAGCGAACACAGCATCACAGCCGCAGCGCCTGTCACTCACTCCAGCTCAAAGAAATCAGCCTCTGTGATCTGATCTTGAGAGACTTCTTGAAACCAGACCCAAACAGAATATGTAAGAAGGCGCGATATTGCTCGCTTTTGAATGGTCAGTGAAAGACAGGGTCACGTCGATGGAAACCCTTGCTTTGCAGACACAATCATCAGTCTGGCCAGAACTGACATGTTCTCCAACTTATACACTGTTAAAGGTCGCTTGGATTGCTTTGAGATGTGCATTTTTATTCTTATGTAATCTTAACTGAAATATGAAAAGAGGGTGGAACATAGAGTAGCTCCTCCCCTTTTTTATAAAACAGCCAATAGCCTTTTATCACATCAAACACAAGTGCATCAAATGAAAAGCAAATGAGAAGCCTTGAAGGGGGCGGGGTATGACAGACAATAGAAAGCATTTAATTGCTCAAGATTTCACGAGAGACTGAAGTAAGGTGACATGAAAAAAAAAAGCGATTGACTCATTTACTGTAGGCAGAAGTGCAAGCTTTAAACTTCAAGCTTTACATGGTGATATCAGTTTTATATCTAAATGAAATTTTGTTACGGTTTTGGAGCACACTAGATTATAAATATCCTTAAAGAGCCCCTATTATCGGTTTTTGAAAATGAGCTTCAATGCAGTGTGTAACAGCTCTAAGTGAATGAAAACATCCAGCTGAGGTTTGAATCTCAAAGTTCACCTTGTTTAAAACTATTGATTCTTTAGCAAAATATTTGACTCAGAGTCGAATAAACAAATCGAGTTGAGTTCGAAGCTTTTATTTCATCACATCGACGTCAATACGGTACATTACCAAATATGTAGTTTCAGGTCCGGTAAAATGTGAGTATGCTTACACTTCAGACACTAGCAGAGGCACGGGGGATCACTGGACTGATCATGACGCGAAGATGACGATCACTGACAGATGGAGATTCGGCTGCGGGGAATAAAGGGTTAAAGATTTCACAACAATACCACAGTAAAGCAAACCTAGTGCTGAGTTTACTTCAGTCATTTTACTGATGATTGATACAATAACCTACACTGCAGCAGAGACTATGGGACAATTTACTGAAGAGTCTCAAGAAACTTAGTGGCTGCAGTTTGCCAGTAGCTTAATGTTAATCAATTACAGCAAAAATACTGTATTTACATTCCCAGTATCATTTATCTTGCTGTATATGTATTTACAAATTTGTATGTATATGTTTACTGTAAAATATACAGTAATTTTCACAACTTTACTGTCCTACATTAAAGTGCAGTTCAAATTACTAAATTAATTAATTTGTGTGTGTTTATTTGTTTCTGTTTAATATATTGAGACCTGTGCTAAAAATATTAGGCTAATTTCCTCTGGGCTGTGAGTCTTTCCCTTGCTTTTCATGCAGTTTTACCACATCTGGATGGGGTTTTGCATCAGCCATTCGCAAGGATTTTCTTAAAATGGGACGTGAGGTTCACAGCAGGGGTTTCAAACTAAATTTGTACATGCACCATTTGTTCTTAAAGAGGCAGTTCACCCTAAAAACTAAAATTCTTCCATCATAAATTAATTCACTGGCTTGTTGTTCCAAGTCTGTATGAGTGCAACACATGTGAAGATGATGTTTTTAAATTGTTTGATGAAGGATTGATTAATTTTTAGTTTGTTGTTTTAAAACCACTCTCAAAAAACTGGATGCACATAAATTACATCGATATTAATATATGATTCATATATTCCTTAAATTATGTTTCTACCATTTATACAGGTCAAGACAGGAAGACAATAAAAATAATGTCCTAAAAGATCATCTAATTTAAAACACATAGTTCTTAAAAATAAAACCACCCTGATAAATTAGGGACTACGCTGAGGTAAAGTGAATGAATGAAAACGTTCGAGGTTACTAAAGTAACCCTTCGTTCCCCGAGGAGGGGAACGGAAGCACTATAAGTGGATTTGATTTGTAAAATCCACGCATTGGGAGGTTCGGTTCAGAAGCTACTCGTCTGAAAGAGTATTGAACGGGCCAATTAAGAATGAATTGGCAGCGCAAGCCTGCGCAGGTGAGCGGCATAAGCAATCAACTGAGTATATAAGCTCACCTGGCGCCAGCAGACGCTATCCTTTTTAAGCTGAAGAGACTTTCAACAGCTAAGGGACAGTCATTATGGCGACGGAGTATAGTGCTTCCGTTCCCCTCCTCGGGGAACGAAGGGTTACTTTAGTAACCTCGAACGTTCCCCTTCGGGGGGAACTTCAGCACTATAAGTGGATTTGATTTGTAAAATCCACGCATTGGGAGCCCATTGAAAGCGCCATAATGACTGCACCTTACCAACACCCCCGATGAGGAGATAGTCAAGCAAGCGTGACGCACCCGCATCATGGGGGGCGCGGTCCTCCAACGTGTCCCTGGCCCTAATTTATCCTACTTCAACAGAAGTTTTACGGATTTAGATATATTTTTTGGGAAGTCGTGAGCATCTAGATAATTCTAGGAAATACGACAGTACGTTGGGAAGCGTGCAATCCCGATAGGGAGGACGCTGCGGAGGCCATCCGTTACCCAAGGGGGGATAGATGGCAGAATTTACATATGGACTAGCCCTAAAAAGGGGGAGTACGCATAGCAAAAGAGTGGTTAGCGGGGAGGGAAGACACGGGTCCGCCC